ATAAGGTGCTATACTATACCATCCATTGTCATAAGGTGCTATACTATACCATCCATTGCCATAAGGTGCTATACTATACCATCCATTTTCATAGGGTGCTGTACTTACAATCAAGTGTCATAAGGTGCTATACTATAACATCAAGAAGTGTCATACGGTGCTATTCTGGTGCTATAATCCATTCATAGGGTGCTGTATCTCATCTATTGCCATAGGGTGCCACTCTATATCATCCATTGTCATAGGGTGCTCTCTATACTGTATACCATCTATTGTCATATTGTGTCTTGTAATACCATCCATTTCTGTAATTGCCAAGTTTTGCATACTATTTCCCATTTCCATTCATCCATTCAGAAGGTTCTTTGCAAGTAACATATCATAGAAAGTCAGATTGGATCTCAAGTAGAAATTGAAATCATAAGTAAAATCATACAAGTTTAATAGACCCACTTGCCGGATCTTTCTGCATAAAGATAGTTTGAATTAATGCATGATTGAACAGCGTAAAGACATAATCATATGCCTAATATGTACAAGTCAATGACTTGCCAATTTTGTCTGTAATAAAAAACACCGCAAACTATATAACCGTAGACATTCCATTTAGTTGTCAAGGTTGTCTGAAATGATAGTATTCTTTAGTGTGTTTTAAAAGTTTAGTAATAGCAGTGCATGATAGCAGGGATTTTAATTTTAATGTTTAAAGCTTTATATTGATTGATATATCTACTACACTCACACATTCATTTTTATGTAAATTGGGCAACCTGGACAACTAAGCAAAATATCTTCAATTCCCGCATAATTTTTGAAGACTAATTGGTCAAGACATATGTGACTATCACTTTACAACAAGTGACAAGATGTTGTATTGACAACAGTAATTGACAAAGAATCAAATCTTCAAGAAGTCAGATTGGCTCAAAATGATAAAAGTATATCACATGCAGTCATCATGCCAACTGAAAATACTTCACTTGATACTCAGGCCAGTTGCCTACCAATTAATAAAGCATCAATACCTTGTAATAATTGTCTTTCCTTAAATTGAAAGCAAAAATGATGGTACATCATGTACCTGGCCATAATTTGACCAAAATGAAATTTAAAGATATTAATAGAAGGCTAATAGAAATCATATTTCAAGAGTCATGTAAAAGCTTCTACCTTAGCTGTGTACAATATAGTAAAAAAGTAGTTTCAACACAGGTTTTACATATGTCAGGTCCTGCAAGGCTAGGAAATCAGAAAATATGTTCCAGATACTGAAAGCCAGTCCTCTGCTGAGTACTTTGCTAGAAATAAAAACTTCAATCTGTCACCATCGTCATCTTAGCATCATCATTGGTACCTTCTACTCAGGCTATGATGGTAATATTAAAGATTCTGGCAGACTAGGTATATGACAGCATCATCACTACTTTCATCATCATYATCAATCACAGCATAGGTGCCATCCAAGCGTTTGTTATGCTTGTAGCATTAAGGCTATCTTTTAATCTTCCTGCATCACTCATTCAATTGAAATCCAATGTCAGTCCCCATGGCCAGCTATATTCTCACTCAAGTTCTCAGTGCCACTTGCTTGTAAAACTTAAATGGTTTTGCACTGAAAGTATATGAGCATCCTCTTGCAACATGACCAGTACTCTACACCATATGCAATCATTATACTTCTTGAGAATCGATCCTGAAAGGTTCCTGGATGTATGCAGCTGAAAACTCACCAATATAACCTTCTAAGAATCCAGACAGGTTCCTGAGTATCGATGCACCTGAATACTTACCAATAAATGGATTTGTGTAGGATGCTATTGCTTAGCTATACTGGACTGAAATGACCCTTTTATACCCACCATAATTGGGCTGATATTGTTGCCAAACTGAAGGATTCTCTATACTTACAGTGCGTGTAGTGGTGCTTTACTGAAACAACAGCTTTGATTGATAGTCGATGTCTACATGATTATATTACTATTTATACCCGTTGGAGAGGTATCTTACAATTATTATTAAATAATATTGTTTCTAATAAGTAAAGAAAGATACATCAATTTCATATTTTTACAACAGTAAACTGCAGCTCTATAAATATAGGTTCATTCTCCTCTTKTTTTTGCATATCAAAAATCTTTATTTCTTTTAGGAGAAATAATATCTTGAAGTATCATATTACATTAAATGTCTAAACTACAACAGCTGCAATTATTGACCTTGTTGAAGCAGGATCCAACAGTGATGTGGTAATTCCCAGGTGAAAATAAGATCTTCAGTAATAGGTACCAGAATAT